ACGTTGGGAAATGGTCATGTAAAAATGTATTGTGACAGCTTTTAGTACATAAAACTACATTAGCATCAAAATGAATCTCAGGGAGAAAACAGTAAAATATAAGAAAATGTAGAATAGCCTGTTTAATTCTAAAGCATAAGGAGGTTCGAAGTGGTCGTAAAAATGGATCATTTTTGGTGCACAAACCCAGACAAATGTCATAAATGGAGCCTAGGAAAGAAGGATGCACAGCGGTATTGACGTGAAGCACTGCTCATATGAAGCATCAGAGGTTATCTGCTGAGTTATTTGCTGTGTGCTAATAACTGCCTTGTGGAGAACTTTCAGCCTGTTTAATGTGAGTTACGAGACCAAGGGCCATTTATGAAACATACAGATTTAGTCTTAAAATGTGAAAACTCATGTTGAAGAATTTTCTAAGCTGATGTACGAACAGCGGTCTGAGTGCATTGCAGGTGTTCAGGGGTGCTATTTGTGAACATAGTGTTTTTATAATCAGTCATACATGAATGCTGAGAACTTATCTCAACAATGAGTGTGTTTACCTGTACTCAATAATCTGACCATAATCGGATTTCTGCAGTTATCTGATCATTCAAATTGTCATGTGAACAGCATAGTCCAATTTCTTAGATTGAAGTGAGGTCTAGAAATCCGAATAAGAAATCTGATAAAGAAAGCTGGATTTTAGCTCAGTGATCAGATTTCTCAGGGTGTTTGTACCCTTACTCGGATTTCTTTCGGATTTTCAGTCTGTGCAAACAGTATGCGAAAACAGACGGCGGTACCGGAAATAATTTTTAAAACACTTTTGGAGCATCTTTGAAACCAACTACATGCTTGACAAATTGATGGATTTAAATAATCTTCGTCTTCTAGATGTTATATGTTCATATTTTTTGGTAAAGTGGCGCAATGTTTTAAAAAAACAAAGCCACAGGATGAAGTTTGAGTTTTAAGCTAAGTTTTACATCACATCTTCTTTTATGAGGTTTTGGCTGGTTGCAAAGCAGAAATCTGATTACTGCCTGACTCATATAGACCTGGAGTTTGCCCATTATCTGATTACTCAAGTGCATGTAAAGGCGTTTGTTTGGATTAGTGACAAAATCTGATTTTCTGCAGTTATCAAATTATTACGTGCATGTAAACGCACCCAATGACTAAGATGTTAAGATTGTAAGATTTTTTTGTTAAAATTGAAAGAAGTAGCATTACTGAGTCAGTATGTGCTAAAATGTAGTATGTGTGCGCTGCTGTAAGTCACCCCATAAAGCCTGAAATAATAATTTAAACGTCAAATGTTGCGTCAGATTTCATGAAAGTTTTTTGTAGTGCATCACACGTCTTTGCGTGACATCACACGCACAGGCTCAAAAAAAGATCCAGCTCGAAGTTTAGGTCTCAGATGCAAAATCACCATTTACTGATGAAGACATGATGGCAGTAGTAGATCATTCACTTACACCGTCAGACGAAACATCCCTCACCAAGTTTTGCCTGAGTTCTTTTTGAACACTTTCAGTGGGCTCACAATCATCAGATTCATCCGCTTGGGGAAGAGGGCCAAAACACAGCGAATACTGTGCTTCTGCACGTTGATTGCAATTACAAATTTCCACCAAATCTCCAAATCTTACACAGTGCAGCTTTATTTTTGCTTTACTTTTGCTTTTTACTCAAGTACATTTTAGGTTTCAGGTCCATGAGGTGAGAAATATAGAATATGGACCCTTTAAAATTAGTAACTTTTTTTTTTAATTCTCCTGTATAACATTTAATTGTGGTCTGTTAGCACAGCGACCTTATGTTGCATTATTTTCCTCAATCCAACTTCTATGTAAACTTCTTCAGACTGGTCTTACTTTTATCACCTAGAAACAGTTGAACATCTGAAGCTTATATGGGAAGACAGCTTGTCTAAAAGAACGATTTTTGTTATGATCGTATTTCCGAATGGCAAAAAGAAGCACTGTTTTTAGGACGGGATCAAACACAACCCAATTATGCTATTTCATAAGTAAGTTTTAAGCTTTTTTTCTAAAGCAAAGTTGTTCTTCAACACATGTTCAGATGTTTAGATGTAGTCTTTTTTTCATTGCTCCAGTTTCAACACTAAAGATGAATGAAATGTAAATTTCTTGCAAAATTCTTTGTCATCACTCATCAACATAAAATAATTTGTTTTTTGCTAGATGTCCTTTGGTAACCCTTGCAAATCGCTTATTCAAATTGGCTCCAGTTTGCATAGGCTTTTGTTGTCGCACTTCATTGTGTTTGCGGTGAGTCAGGTGAACTGAGTTCCAGATGGTGTTGTGTGGCTCAGAACCCAAAGTGACGGAGGTCCTTTAACAGCAGGCTGGTCTTTAGTTTGCGGGTAGAAAGTCATGGGTCATGTATGTTCTTCTGTTCAAGCAGCAGAAGACAGACAGGCATGGTCGGATCCCCCGAGGTGCAGTCGGTCAGGTGTGACACACTGTGAGCTGAGCGCAGATCAGCAGAGATAATGCTGAGATAAAACAAACGGATCTGCTTGTTGAATGTTTATTCAGATGCATGCACACACGCATGCGCTCCGTGACCTTTACAGTAGACCTACAGTGTCACTTCTACTCTGTGTCTGGATCCAGAGGTAGAAAACGTTGGTGAAACAGTAGAGATAGTTTTCTAAAAGGGCTGCTGGCATTAATATTCACTCATCTCACTCAGACATATGACATTTTTAGTGGAGTGAGTGCTTATTGATATCATATAGTATTTGTGAATTAATGCCACCTCCTTTTTTGCGTGCATGCTTTTTGAGGTTCCCACATTAGCTGATAGTTGTTTAAAGGGCCAATATCCTACATTTTTTTTCCTCTGAGGTCTACTTACAATGTCTTTGTGTGTTTACTAAAAGGAGTCCAAAAATAAATAATTTTTACATGACCACATGACCAGCCTCTCTTTAGCCCTTAGAATTAAACTGACTGTTTCTGCTGCTGTGCCTTTAAGACTGATGTATGTAAATGACTTCTGTTCTGATTGGCTGTCCTGAATTGCGCATCATTTAAAAACAGTCTGGGCTAAAACACTTCTTGTAACTTCTGTATGAATGAGTGGAGCTAAACTGCTGTAGGCTGAATAAGCAGGTGTATGTAAATACATTGGCTTTTGTGACATCACAAAAACAATGAATGCAAAACAGGCTGCTTTTGGAGGTTTGTTTCCAAATATGGATTGTATAGACTTCAGGATTGAATGGGATGTTTTGAAATTTTAACAATGTTTACATATTACACCAAACTTTGTATTTAAAAAAGTGTGGAAAATTGGGTTTTTCTATTATATAGACCCTTTAAATGGAAGTCAGTGTTTCTCCTCTACTAATCATTTTCTCTACAGAGCCCAGCTGGTGACATCCTGTATAAATAAAAATAATCTGTGGCCACGAGTTAGTAAGGCATGGGAACAAGATAATTAAGTTGTGGCTACGACTCAGTAAGGCGTGGAAACAAGATCCTGATGTGTAGCTGTGACTTAGTAAGGTGTGGCCCTAACTTAGTAAGGCATGATCTCATTCCCACACCTTACTAAGTGGTGGCCATGACTTAGGATCTTGTTCCATGCGTTAACAAGGTGTGGCCAGGCATTATTTTTTATTTATATGGGATATCACCAGCAGGGCTCTGTACTCTTCTCTTTTTTCTGCTCTATTCTTTCTCTCTACTCTTTTCTATTCCTCTCCACATTTTATTCTCTCTATTCTATCCTTTTTCTCTCTGTTCTCAATGTTTCTCCTCTCTTCTTTTTATCTTTAGTATATTCTTTCCTCTCTCTCATTGATGTCACTCATTACTGCTTACAGTGAAGTCAGTGTTCCACTCTTCTTGTCCCTTTTCTCTGTTCTTTTTTGTCTCTCTTTTTCTGTCTTGTTTTTCTCTCTTTCTCTCTCTCTCTCTGTCTTTTGTAACTGATTATTGCTTAAATGGAAGTTGTTTAAATACACTGTTTTTTCCCTTACCATTATTATTGTTGCTATTCTCTATTCTTTTCTTTCCCTTTCTGTCTCTCGCCCTCTCTCCCTGTGTTTCTTATCATTGCTGAAATGGAAGTCAGTGTTTCTCCTCTATTCCTCTATTTTTATTCCTCTAGACTATTTTCCCCTCTCTGTCTGTCTCTCTCTGTCTTTTTCTCTCTTTTTCTTTCTTCTGTTACTGAAGAAGAACTCTGCTATACTATACTATTCTATATTCTCTCTCTCTCTCTCTCTCACTCACACACACACACACACACACACACATTATGGTTTAAATGGAAGTCAGTATTTCTCTTGCAGTCTTCTATTCTATTTCTCCACTATAGTCTTTTCTTTTTCTTCTCTTTCTTTCTCTATGTGTTCTTCTCCTCCCTCCACTCCCCAGGCCTCATTCACCACCCTCTCTTCCAGTATTAACATGGCCACTTTCCAGCAGCCTGGTGCCAAAGAGAGAGAGGGAGAGAGAGTGGGAGATGGAGAGCACCCTTCTAATGCAGCCTTGCAGACGCAGCATAACAATGCGCTAATTAGCATAGCCTATATCCCATGTACTTATGGCGCACATTCTCTATGTACCACAGCAAGAGCTTCCTGCTGCAGAGCCATCATCATCCCGCCATCATCTCTATGTGTGAGTGCTTTCCCCCTTTATCAAACTGATCAGGCTGATCACATTATGGACATGTTTTGAAAGGGGGGGCAGTTAGTAGGGGAGTGAGGAGAGAAGGATGGAGGATGAAGACAATAAAGGAATGGTCAGAAAGCAGAGGGAGCAGAGTGAGTGAGTGAGTGAGGGGGAGAGAGAGAGAGAGAGAGAGAGAGAGGGAGAGAGAGAGGGAGAGAGAGGGAGAGAGAGAGGGAGAGAGAGAGGGAGAGAGAGAGGGAGGGAGGGAGGGGACGAGTGAGGGAGCTGGAGAGAAAGGGTGATGTCACCTCTAGCCAGCAGCCAATCAGACACAGGGAGGCAGAGGAGAGGGAGTCTGAGAGGGTGTGTTTTTGTATCACTGCAGCATCAGCACACACAGGCCACAATCAGTTTGATAGAGAGGAAGAATTGCAAGACTCCACATCGGGGAGAAGGAGGGAGGGGGAAAAAACGCAACCAGAGCGAGGAAAGAACCCCGTGGCCATCTTAGACCTGTAAAGGTAAGAGGAGAACGTTCTCTATTAGAGATGTCAATAGTCTTTAGTGCCAGATGTGTGCAGGTGCAGGCTGGAGTGCATGTCATGTGCTTATGAAGGTAGAATGGTAGTACCTAAAGAGCAGTGATACAGTGTTTGGCAGGTATAAAACTGAGTCTTAGAGTACTAAAATGAGGATATCTACACTGTTAAATTTATTTAAGCACTTATTGGCTTCGCGTGTAGGTGAATGTAGGTCAGAAAAGGAATGGAACCGGCAGGTCACATTTCCAAGGCAAATTTCTAAGATGAATTTACATCTCATATGAATAAGTAAGACTTCCCATGGGATTAAGCGTAATGTTTTTCCATGTCATCCTGCTCAGAGTGAAGTTTTGCCATCCCAAATCTTCAAGTTCGCCATTTCTTGTGAGCAGAAATGCATTCCAGGAGGATTTAGCTGAGCAGGCATGCAACAGGGTCTTTTCCTTTTTATCATTAATGCAATAGTCTAGCCTCCAGCCTTGCACATTCCAGCTGTAGAGCTAGGTGACTGTGTCTGTTCCTCATACTGACATCTTGATACCACAAAGTGTTTGATGATATTATCTCGGCAGTGGCGCTGATCGCTGAGGCGGGGGCTGAACCGTTTTGCTCGTTTGTTGGAGCTGATTAAGCATGGCATTATCACACTGCTAAGTGCTTTGAGTCGTATTGAACTACAGCTAGTTTCATCTGTATATCTGTCTTCTTATCTGAGATATGCGTTTTCTCACATAGGGCTGATTAATGGGCCTAACTGCAATGTCAGTGGTTCTACCACCACTGAATATCTCATTTAAACTAAGCTTAGGCTTAATCTATGTATGGGAAACTGGGCTATAATGCCCTTTTGTTTTAAGTGGCCACTTATTTTCTTTCTCTGTGTCTCTGTCCATCCATCTGTCCATCCCCCCTTCCCCCATGCTCCCTTGCTAATTGTTATCCACTGATAATTATTGTGGCATCCTGGACAATATAGGGCTTTTATTGACCAGAGCCTTTTTTGCCGCAGCCGCCGTGCAGGTCTGGGGTGTGTGCAGTAAAGCAAACAGTGAAAAACTAACTGCGGTTTAATGGGGCAGAGGGGGCTATGGGGGAGAGAGAGAGAAAAAGAGAGAGAGAGAGATGGAGAGACTCGGGTGGGGCCTGCATTTATTTTCAGTGGCTGTTAAACACAGGGCCACTTACCTGGCCGAGTGCCAGCATGCGTGATTCAGGGCGGGTCTCGTCCACAGCGCTCAGGTTGCAAATGATCAGCTCTATTAACAAAGGTTAAGGCTACTGCCTGCCCTGCTGCTACTTTATAGCACAGACATTCAGCCCTCTTTTCTCATTTGCACAGCTACTATGAGTGAAGAAATTTGCAGAGGTGCCTGTCGCTGTCCTAGATGAGAATCGACAATCCATAAAAGGTGTTTGACAGTGATACATGTCCCTCCTTAGCACATCATCCCAAGGATAATCAATAAGGCTGATCATGGAGAATGCATGGCTTTGTAGGTCTAAGTAACTTGTACTATGTTGCATTCCACCATACAACGAATGCTGTCTTTTTCCACTGTCTTGCTCTCTCTATCTCTTGCATCTGTAACGTCAGTTACCATGGACCATATTTTTTTTTAAGTCATTACCCCGCACTTCAAAAAGAGCAGAAAATATGTTGACTCAAAGCTTCTGCCCACTGGCTTCTATTATAAGTTTGTTTTTGAGAGAACAAATTTTCAGTTCCTTTGTAAAAACAGGGAAACATGTCGAAACGATTGCCCCTGGTAATCAACATGCTACAGATGCAACAGATAGATGTTCGATGTACAAATACTGGAGTGTTGCTTTAATGTCAGAATTCTTCCCTGTCTCCAGCTGTGATGTGAAAACACTGGCTCCCTGTGAGGCAAAATATGATCTTCCAGCAGACTTTAATTGAGCTGTATGCTAGACGATAGACGGACAGGCTGAAGAGATTTAGGAGGGATGAAAGGAAGAAAAAGAGGCTGGGTGGGGTCACATTTGACAGGCGAAGCTTTTCGTCAGGCTGGTAATATATGTGCACTTAAATATATCGTCTAAGTGAGACAGCGAACGGGTGCAAGGTCAGAGGGGGATGGGACGTCAGCAGTGGGAGTGGTGCTGTTGAAGTATAGGGAGGATGAAAAAAAAAGAGAGGAAAACATTTAGCATCTGCCTCCCAGAACAAGTGCAGGAGGCAGACATTTGACATGCTCCCCTGCTACCAGCCCTCATCGTATCAGCATGCAGGAGTGGCGTGAGGTTGGTGAAGAAACGGCGCTTTCAGTGAAGCATCTGCTCTGAATATGCCAGTTACAGAGAAACTCGAGGGAAAAGTGGTGTGGCGCACAGGCTTCCATAGCAGCCACCTGTTATTGCCAGAGGGCCTCAGCTCTGTTGGATTCTGCTCCCCCAGCACACACACTGGGGGAAATAATCCCTCCCAGCATCCTTCTTAAATTATCCATGCACAGATAAAAGACTGGCCAGCTTTCACTCTAAAAATGATGTGTTAATTAACAACACGCTTTGTATGTTATCACTGTTTTTAACACGTTTTCTGTCAGGCCACAAGAACATACAAATTATTTCATTACACCACATTATTGGGTTAAATCTTTTTAATGCTGCTTGTATTAAAGGAATGCTCAACTGCATCTGCATCTATAGCTTATGGCTGATTTTTCTATGAATTTCGCTGCAGTGTTTAACCCTTTTTAACATCAAAAAAGAACAGAAAATACATACATTTGCAGTGGGTTTCTAATGTCAAATGGTATTTACTTTGGATGCACATAAAAGGTCACACTGTTAGCATAGATCAAATGTAATCCAGCATGGTAACGTTAGCATGGTGACAAATTCACTGTAGCTTACAACCTGCCATGGATTTATTTGCTACAATAACATAATCTGGCTCTGTAGTGTAGAAATTTAAACTGGAAGTTCGTTTTTAACAGTTCCCATAAAATGCATTTTCTCTCTGTTTTATAGATCCTTTGGTCGAATTATACAGTTCTTTTCTTCAGTAACATTGATGGAAGCTTTGTCAGTGAGCAAGCATGTCAATATTTATGAAAGTGTTTTTATTGTGTTAAAATTTTGTTTTTAATTGTGGAAGTTTTACACAATTTTTAATGTCTACAAAGCTGCAGTTGAGCTGATTGTTTTATCTCAGCACAGTTCTTACCCCTCATTGCTTACTGGGGTTTAAAGCAGAGCCACAACTTTTCACACACAGAGAGCCAACAGTGTCCTAGTTAATTGGATAAGAGAGTTATAAGTATTTATACATATATTAAAATATCTGACTCAATTTCTATTCCTCCAGCTGAAGGGCCACTAGGGGGCCTACAAAAAGAGCCTCTCCTTCTGCACTTAAATCACATATTTATTTGTGGATATTGGGCAGTTACTTCTATCTGCTCCACCCACAGATATGGGAATTGCTCCAAAGCTGGACAAGCTTTACAGAATGCTGGGGAAAAAATCCCTTTTAACTCAATTTATGTCAAAATACATACAGTTATTAATGTCAAATGATATTTATTTTGCATGCATATGAAAGATCACACTGTTAGCATGGGTCAAATGTAATCCAGCTAACCTTGGCATGGTGGCAAATTCATTGTAGTTTTCAATCTGCCATGTTTTTATTCGCTACAATACAGTAGTTCAGCTCTGTAGCGTAGAATTTTAATCTGGAAGCTCATTGTGTAGAGAATGTTCTGCAAAGCTTGTCCAATCTGGTAACAGTTGCTATGAGAGAGTGTATTTGTTGGTGGAGTGTGTAAGATAAATGTGTTTCAAGTCTACAGTTTTGTAGATAGAGATTAAGTTGAACGATGCTGTAGCATTCCTTTAAATTAGATGTTTGTGTTGAAAGTTATGTCCTTCACTGAACTGGTGCTGCTACACAGACAGAGCACTGCTTTGCACCAAGTCTTGGGGGCGTTAGCCGTACAGATTTGTAATGGCTACAGAGGCAGTGGTTTGAATTTCACTGTTAGGAGTAGGGTGACAGTAGCATGCAGACAGGGCCGCAGGTATTGAACGAGTGAAGAAGGGAAGGCATTAGTCTGATGTAAATAGCAAAGGCTGTCTGAGACAGCAGTGACCTAGAGGGCCAGACCTGGTAGAGTGATGCTAACAGGTGAAAAGGCCTCTGTAGCAGACTGCGCTTTTTCTGTTAGCTCATATAGAAGCCTCCTGAAGCGAGCATGAGTCAAGAAGGGGACTGACGGCTTAAAAACCAGAGAAAAGTCTTTACAAAAAGTAAAGAACAGAGTAAGGAGACGCCAAGGAGACTGTGGAGAAGAGAGGGTGATGAAGTGATTTGATTTGTAACCCCACACTAAATGTCAGTCTTAATGCAGACACATTAGCTTAAGTAGCGAGCATCTGTCGAGCTCTCAACGCTTTCCTTTCTTCTTAATGCTGTCTTTTCCTCACTTAAATAAGAAGTATGCTTTTTCAACATCTCATCAGGCATTGTCAGGCTTTCTACACACCATAATCAAAGTAATGGATTCTTGAGACTGAATCGCAATTCTCTTAAGCCCACAGACAAAGACTATAAAAATGAAACCAATCTTTCAAGTGTGTCTGTAACATCGGCAGCCTCAAGTATGCTGATGAAGTTAATTGGATTGACAAATTGTTTTAAATCTGTCACTGGCCCCCCAAATTCAATCTTTAAAAAGCAGGAATAATTTGGCAACAAATCAAAACGTTGCTGTTTTCTAAACGCTGCTATAACTCTCAGGCCCAAGGCACATTTTCATGGAGCGAATGCCCAGCTGAGCTGACTTTTCACTTTTTATTTTTGTGTCTGTCTGAAAAGTGCTGAGATGCTAAGATGTTGGAGCACCATGCCCTCGACATGATAACAACTATATGGGCCAGAGTGTTTAAAATGTTCTCTCAGCTGTGAAGGAAACAGGTGCAACTAACGGCAAGAAGCAACAAATGAAGGA